TTTGTGTGTCTGCATGCTTATGGGTGCATGCGTGTTTGAGTGTGTGTGAATGTGCATATATCTGTGTGTTTGCATGTATGCGTGTGTTAGATCCTGTTTTTGAATTTTCCCGCACGTGCTTTCTAAAACTGAATCACTTGTATTGTTTCGCGCTCACTCACATTTTTTTTTTTTTTTTTCATTGCTTTCTTTGTTTCTTAACTGGATAACCTCAACTGTACCTATTTGTTTAGCAGAGGCTCATCATTAAATTAAGAATTATTTCATATACTTCACATACATGGGTATGGGAGAATGTAGTGTGGCTGCTCTGAATCTCAGGTCAGGTTGAAACTGTGCAGACTTTCTTGTGTCTTGCATCAGGGGTTCGATCATACAGTCCCGATGGTGCAATTGGAACAATTATCAACTGAGGAAGTATAAATTCCCATGGTGCATTTCACCTGCTGAACGTGAGCTCGCCCTCTTTGTCACTTGTCACATGACAACAGCTGTTGAGCATTTTTGCGGCTTGGATCCAATCAGCCTTTGTCCTTAGCTTTGGCTTGTGTGCCAGTGCAGGTGTTTTTTTTTTTTTTTTTTTTTCCTTCACAAACACATGCAGTTGAGTTAATGAGATGTTTGACGGCCACCTGGTGTCTGTGGAGGAAAAAAGTGAACCCTTACCTTTAGACATGGACCAAAGGGAAGGCAGAGTGTTGATTGAGTCTGGGCCAGCGTGTCGTGTCCCAACCCTGTACTTATGTGTGGCACTGTCTCTCTCTCTCCTCTGTGTGACGGACTGGGACTGGTTTACCGGACGGCCTGCAGGTGAAACTAGCATCTTCAGTAGCGTCCCTTTGGGCTTTTACATTCTGGGTAGCATGTTTATGTTAATCGGAGCAAAGTACATCTCAGGTCAGTTTCTGTCTTGTGTGAGTGCATGAGCGAGTATGAGTGGGTGTTTGTGTGTACGCATGGGTGTTTGTGTGTTTTGTCTGCTCTGTGGTAGTAATGTACCAGATTCATTCTGCTCCCTCATCTCCTCCATTACATTTTCACGCAGTGTGTACTGTGTGCTTCTACACAGCTTGCTCATTTAGGCTCCTCGTTAGCCAGCTATGAGGGTTGTCGTTTTATTTTGATATAAATGCAATCAGTATGGAAAGGTTTACAAAGTCATTTCTGTCAGCAGTGTAGTATAACGGATAGGGAGCTGGTCAGAAGTTGCAGGTTCAGGTCATAGTTAGGAGACTGTCACTAAACACTTCTTCCAGCAGAGATTCTGTTTCCTCTGTCAAGATTGGAATGGGTTAGCACTTTGTGTTGCTATGTTGAAGGAGCAGGGCAGTTTGCTAAGAGACCACTAAGGGCCTCGTCCGTCACCTCACCACCTCAGTCTGGGAGTTTCCACAGAGGTGCCCTGAGAGAAGAACCTTCCATTCAGTGATGGTTTCAACGAGATTTTACACAAATTGTGGTTCATTAGAGAGATTACTGTCATTTATCTATGTTTCACATGTTGGTGAGATCGAATAATCATGGAATATTTTAATACCAAATTTAACCTGTATATGAATTAGTTGGAGGCAAAGTATAAAAAGTTTTAATTAACCAAATTGCCCTTTCAGCACTAAATGCATAGATTATGAGAAGAACTATGGAATTAATATTAGTTTATAACATTTTAATAGCATGGCTGATTTTTGTATTTTATCCTGAGTTTTCCCTCCCTCCTCTGCATTCCTTCTCTCTGCAGTGCTAACATAGCTAGCGTGCTGGAGCTCACTGCTGCCATGTTAAATTCACCCTCACTGTGTGCAGGCTTCGTTATTCACCTCCATATTTTAACCTCCCCATTTTACCCTTATCCAGCTTTTAACACAAACCTCTCTGTTCCCTTTCCCCCTCAACAGGACGGCATAACTGAACTCTGACCCATGATGCATTGCTTCAGAGTGAGGAGGAAGGGAGGTAGTGGGTATGTGCATGCCCCGCCCCCTTTCAGGTCCAGCTTCATCGTGGGGGGAAATCCCCACTCCAAAAGCATTAAGAACGTCTCCTCTTACATGCACCCCGACTTTACCCTGTGGACCCCAAATCCACTCACCCCCGCAGGTGAGGTGTTTGAGTGTTCCACTCAAGGCAGTGGATCCAACCTTGGACCAGTCAAAGTGAGGCTATTTAAATGAACCAAACAAACATCAATGAACAGGGGAGAATGTGGGGGTGGGGGGGGGGGCTTAGTTGTCAGAAATGGTTTCCCAGTTCCTGCTTTTCCTGAACATGTAAGCTGATGGTACTGTATGAATGTTTTTTTTTTTTTTTTTTATGTACAATAACACTGAAGAATTTTTTAATTTTTTTTTATCCCATAAGTAGTACTGTACATTTCACATCTTCCTGTGTAACGGTACTGTCCTTTGACGTGCCTGAAGTCTGTTAGCTGTTATATTGGTACGGTGGGGTCTTCTAGCAGAACTGATAGTTTTGATAAACAGTACTTGAATGAGTTAACGAATGACAAAAATTTGCAGGAGTTTCCAGCACTTTATAATTTAAGACGTGTATGCATGTGTGAACATGGTGCAGATGCGACATGGTACTTTTTGTTTTGTTTGTTTGATTTTTTTGTGGAGGGTATCATAATTATCAGATGTGTGTGCATGAATGTTTTTTTTCTTCATGGAAATAGGAACTTTGGGGAGGGAGAAATCAAGAACTGCACCCTAATACTGTAGCTTTATGGAATGGCTGAACTGCCATTACCCTAGAAACAATTAAGACTTTATAAAGAAACGTAACCAAACACAATTTGCCAGTTTTAACCACTCGCCTCCGTGAAGGTTTTTCCTGTGCAGCTGTTGAAAGAATTACAATTTTTTTGACACAGTGAGCCAGAGTTTGTGAAATACGTTGTTTCCTTGTAAACAGAACCCAATCTAGTACAATATTGTTTTCATGTGTGTATATTTTTATAGAATGTGTTCCACACACTGTTTCTGGTGTACAGTTGCCACACGGATCTGGTTTTTCAACTGTAAGACAATCTGAAATTTCTGCGTGGTCTTTGATTGAAAAAGGATTCATTCAAATGGGGTGTCAGTGTTCAAGCACCGACTCAGAAATCCAAGGAGACTGATTAATGACGAGGACGAAAGATCATTTGTTTATATAGATGAAGTTTCCTTCTTGTTCAAATGACAGTCGGTGTCATGAATCATTCTTGTACAGCCAAGTGTTTTTTCTTTTTTTTTTTTTTAAACTCGTTGACTGTATGTTGTAAATACATTTCCATTATGTGTGTATGTGGTTTTTATACCTGTGGATGTGAGAATCACATGGTTAATCCTGAGATGTGAAGCTTCACTGCTGTTGCTGGATTTTTGGGCATTTGTGCTCTGCTGTCAGAAACACTTGGACTACCCCACGGCTTGGCATTGAGTCCTGTCTGCCAAAAGAAATGTGCATTGCCTTCAGCATCTCCCTGGCTGAAATATGCAGTCTCGCTGAGCAACGGTGCCGTTTCTCACCATGTTCCTGTAAACCATATGCAGTTTTAATTAAACAGATGCAGTTGCATACATTTTGAAAAACCATGTTGTCCCTGACAGTGTTTTGTTCGTCTTTCGTTGAAGTGCCTCAGTTTGATGAGAGAAAAGGTGCCCAATCCTGAATAGGCTACTGAGGATACAAGCTTCTGTTATGCAAAAACCTGCATCCACAATACAAAACTAGGCCTGGTATAGGCTGCCTGATTGGCCCTCAGATTTCTGAGAAGGGATTTGATTGGCTGGGGCTGTTCTGAACTCAGATCATAAAGTGGTCAGAATTTTTAACTGGCCTTGTTTTATGAACAAAGAACATCCTTAAAATTTGGCAGCCTCATGCCACAACAGTAATTTTTAGTACCTCTTTAACTCAGTGAATTTAGAATTAAATTAGAACTAAATTTTTAACCACGTGAATCAACACTAAAGCCACCAAAAATCATATGGACCATGTATACAAAATTCTTACAGGAGCAAACTGCACACACAAAGATATTTTAAAACATAGGTATATTTTTCAACTGTATAATGCTTACAGTACATATTCTTTCAGTTTAAATAATTACACAATCTGAACACAATCTCAGGTGCTGCAATCTATTGGAATAATTTACAAAACTGTGAAAATATGGTTTGTTTCCCCCCCCCTTAAGCAAATCATGAAAGCTGAAGTCATTTTTAGAGCAGAGTCACGAAGGACACAATCTTTCCCAGCCTTGACACAAATTACATGTATACAAAAAAACAAGTGTCCACACACACAGGTTAACAACCCTGGGTGGGCTGTTCTAGTCAGTGTGAATTCTTATGTTGTAATTTAAAAAAAAAAAGATGTACTGCACATTCTGTCATTTACAGGCCATTCACTTCCACCCAAGTTTACATCAGGGCTGCACAAGGGCTAATCCATTCCACAATTTCATGCCAACGCCTGCTCTTTCAAAGCCCCAATAATGTACGTTATCTGACCAGGTGTATGAGTGAACCTTTACTGGTGCATACAACTGTGTAGCAAAATTAAGCCACAACTGGTGAGAACAAAAACCAGGAATATAGCTGTGTACTCCTGGTTCACAGGAACAGTTCAGACTGGGAGGAACTCCTGCAGTATGCGTTACAAGGCTTCATGAAACCAGAAATGGGCGGGGGCTATCATAATGAGTAAAGAGCATTTGCATGAATTGTTTTTGTGCCACTGTGGACAGCAACATTTTTGTTTTGATTGATTAAAAAAAAAAACATTAGCTCATTTGTAGCTTCTCCCACTATGTGCTTCATCCCATTGCTATAGAAAACACACCTGGTCAGGTCATCATGAAGCAGCTTACAGCAGCAAAACTGATCAGCCTTTACTGTTATAATTTACTAGATACTCTTCATTCAGAGTATCGCATCCTACATTTTTACACTCTTAGTGAAGTGGAAATTTTCTTGAACAAGGTAAGGTACCTTACTCAAGGTACAAGAGCGCTACCCCACCTGGGATTTGAACCAGCAACCTCTGAGTTACAAGCACAGCTCCATAACCAACTGATCCTAGATCAGCACTCCTGCTGTCAGACATTATGACCACAGACCCAGGACTGGTCCTGTAGGGACAGGATCAAAGGGTGCAGTGCTGCAGGTGGGAAAAATGAAACCATTTAAGCATGTACACTGATTACATCGCACATGAACCGTAGAGCAGTGAGAGGGGAAAACAGCCTACGTCTCTATGAAGTGAATACAATAAGAATACAATAAAGTGACCAAGTATATCTCTCACACAGACACACACACACACACAGCCTCAGGCTATAAGCCTTCACAGGTTGCTGTACATTCACACTCCGCTGCGTTTTGCAGTCTCTACGTTTCGCTGGTCAAAATCACAGCTTCATTCACCATCCTCTGATCTGGGCCAAACACAAATGTGGAAAACTCCTGACAGTTTAAAAGATGACAATGCGACTTGAACACACTCCTGTAGATTCCATGTGTGCTTCTGTTCTGAACTGGTGTATGTTTTTTATTTTAAAAAGATCATAAATCTGCAGAAATTTTTATCCAGTATCTCCAGGACTGAAGGTATTTTAAAGAACATCACACAGCTCTGTCATTAAACTACACTGAACACCTCCCTACATCACCACTCAACTATGTGCCGCACACACACACGCACTTCCTCGTCCTACAGCTGGACTGTGTTGGGTTACAGTGACTATGTCGTGAAACCTAATAGTGTCTGTGAAATCCAGTCAAAGGACGAAATACTCAGGTCATTATGAGCAGAAAGCAAAATACAAAACAGAGGGACTTATGGGAAAAAATGAAACCTTGGCAGGCTGGGAAAGACATATTCCCATCAGCAGTTCCAGAGTGACTCTCTGACTTCAGCAGAAATAAGAAGCAGATTTTGATTGATCTCCCCATGTTTAAAACGGTCCCTTAACCGTGAAACCAGAGACAGTCCAGTGATTGTATTTTATAATTGTTAAACTCTTTAAATAATATTTATGTATATAACAGTATGTACAGAGTGAGATGTGGGACAGGGCAGGGGGGAAAGGAGGCGTAAGCTGGCGGTAGCTGATCTTATTCAGACATACAGACACGTGACTGCGGGACACGCTTCCCTCCTCTATCTCACACACACACACACACACACACACACACACACACACACACACACACACACACACACACACACACACAACAGAGAGAGAAAGAGAGCGATAGAGAGATAAGAGAGACTTCCCTCTACAGGCCATCTTCCATTCTTATACACACTCTCTGTCCCTCTCTTTCATGAAAAACACACACACACATACACACACACACACACACAAAGCAGTTGTCGGAGTGAGTGAAAGCAGTGCATCCTGGGATGGTTCTCTGCAACCAGTGAGAGACTTCTCCCTCCAACAGTGAGAAAGAGAGAGAGAGAGAGAGAGACAGAGAGAGGGAGATAGAGATGGAGAGAGAGAGAGCGAGAGAGGGAGCAAGAGAGGGAGAGAGTGACCCTGTTAGAAACAGGGTTCTGCAGTCTGATGAAGGATGAAGAGGAGGGAGAACAGCATTTCGGCCTCCAATCATGTCCGTGCCTGTCACGCCAGGGCTCATCGAAACACCATACATCCCCCCACTAACCCCTACCCCATGTCCATGAGTCTGGGGGGGTGAGGAGGGGGGAGACAGACACACCCACCTGGCCCCAGGGGCAGGGCTAACCCCCTCCCCCAGTCTGGCCCAGTCCAGGGCAGGGCATGTGATTTGCTGACACAGGGTCATGTGACGTTGACCTCAAGCACGTGGTGGTCCGTGCTGGGCAGAACCAGAACCTGGCGGCCCAGGCTGCTGTTGAAGACCTGACCCGACCCGAAGGGCTCCAGGCGGGGCATGGGGAGGCCCCTCTGCTGCTCCGCCCCACCCAGAGACTGCAGACTGCCCCTGCTGCGGATACTGGCTGTCTCTGCCTGCTCCTCCAGCAGAGAGATGTTATCACTTTCTATGCAGCTATCTGTGACCGAGGAGGGGGGGAGAGAGAGAGAGAGAGAGAGAGAGAGAGAGAGAGAGAGGAGAGAGGGAGGGAGGGGGAGAGAGGGAGAGGGAGAGGGAGAAATGAGCACAATGTCTTAAGCAGAGCCAAACTGGTTCCACAATAGATCATATTTTCACCCTCCACAACCTAATACGTAAATGATTACCAAAACAAAGGTTAAATATTTGCTTGCTATATTGATTTCCAACAAAGCATATTGCTCTATGTGGCACACAGGCCTGTTTGTATACACAGTGAAAGTTGTGTGAGAGTACCTGGGTGTAGTTTTATCCCTGACAGGGTTTGTGTGTGTTTGAGAAACACAGAGTCTCACTTGTGTCTAGTTGGATTGTGGGCATGGTATAGTGTGGCAGGTTGGGGCGTGGTCTCACCTGTGTCAGGCTGGATTGCGGGTGTGGCATAGTGCGGCAGGTACTTTAAGAGCTTGATGTTGGGGAAGGGCAGGTTTCCAGCGAACAGAGGCATCACTCCATCTGCACCCTGTGTGTGGCACTGGCAGCTACGGGCATCGACACCAAACCTGAACTCTTCCCGCACACCGCCCAGTTACTGCTGTTATCTACAACTAGAGAGAGGAAACACACACCATTATACACACACACCCCACACACCGCCCAGTCACTGCTGTTATCTACAACTACAGAGAGAACACACTACAGCTGACCACACACACACATGCGGATGCACACGCATGCACATGCAGACACACACAGGCACACACACACGCACAGTGGGCTCTTACCTTCATACATGAGCTTGGTGGTGCAGAGCCCATCACTCTCCGTAAGTCCTCCATCTTCCTTCTCTGCCTCACTCAGCTCTGCCAGCCGTGTAATACACACCTCCAGCCCACAGAGGGCACCAGTGTGGCACTGCTCCGCTCCGGCCAAAGGCACGATGTCTGCTCTCACACTGTACAGCGTCTATGTGAAAGAAAGTCAGTCAATGGCACCATAGAGTCTACACACCATGAAGACACTGAGCTCCTTCTGTGTGCTCTCTGCTCCTTACAGTTCACATGGATCACACACGATCCAGCTGCAACGGATATACAATCACTCACACACGCACGCACACATGCGAGCTGACTCTCATACCGCTGGGGCATGTATATACTTACACACACATGCTCGAGCTGGAACTCATAGCGGTAGGGTGTGTATGTAGACTCCCCTCCGCTGTCTGGAGAGAAGCTGACGGAAAACACACACTGCAGGCATGCAGGCGGGTCGCTGGCCCACTTCATCTCCCACAGACAGTACACAGACTGCTGACTGTACACCAGCTGTGTGGGACACAATATCATCACTATATTACACATTGTTCTACACACCACATATGCTATAATAGACACTGTATTACACATTGTACTACACACCGTCCACGCCATATAACACACTACATTACCCATCTTATACACTATATAACACACCTCCCGTTTTTACATGAAGCAAAGCTTCATCACAGTTGTAACCTGGTTAAGTAATCACACCATGCCTTTACCTTCTTGGTTTTGCCGTTGAGAGACTGCAGTTCCAGTGAGGCTCCCGGGTGGCGCTCTACCAAGCTCTGGTCCACCAGGTGGAAGTTCATCTCTGACACATTCTGCACACACACCTGGATGTACTTCCTGTGGGTCAAAGGTCAAATAAAAGCAGTTTACTTAGCACAGAGAACATCAGCACTCGAACACACAGGATTATCTCATGAAGAAGTCCCTTTGCTGTGCTTGGTAAAATACAATGAGCAACTGGCTTGTCACCTCTTTCCGGCTGACAGCAGGGAGTGTTTGGCTTTGAAGGGGATGTGGAACATCAAAGCAATCAGTGTAGAGTAGATAGACCAGGGACAGTCGATGGAAATCTGCAAGCAGGGAGAAAACCCAACGGTAAAATGCATACGCAGAACACGCACTGGTCCTTTTGCTCATCAGCAATGCTGCAAGGGGAAAGTGCAGCACAACAGTTTCACAGACACTGCAGACAGTCTGAGGACTCTGACTGCGAATATGTGGGTATGCATGACTGCGCATTTATTTGTGAAATTGCTTATGTGGGCAAGTGTATGTGGGCAATGATTTGCGCATATGTGTACATGCAATTGTTTACATGTGCATGGGTCAATGTGTTAATGTGTATGTGATCACATGTGCCAGTTTATGTACATTTGACTGTGTGTATGGCAGTGTGTGTGTGTGTGTTTATGTGTGTAAGAGAGTGCATATGTTTGTATGTGGGTGGAGGTGTACATGTGTGCTTATGCCTGTGTGCACTGTGTGTGCACCTGCTTGTGTGTAAGTATGTGTATGAGCATTGCATGTATATGTGTGTGTGTGTGGGGTAAAGACCCCTCTTTCCAGCCCTCTCTCTTCTTCAGGGCATACCTTCTGGTCGATGGATGCCATTCCGCTGTTGCTGCGGTGACGGGAGCTGGTGCGGGGGCGGAGCTGGCCGTTGGTGATTCGCTCACTCTCGGGACGGGGCGGGGCCGAGGGGATCTGACAGAGCACCTCCAGCTGGAACTCTATGCTGTGGTATGGAGGGGCCAGTGGGAGGGTGATGCTCGTCACCTTCTCTGAGCTCTGGATGGAGAGCACGCTCTCCCCCACCAGCTCTGCAGAGGGACAGCGAGAGAGGGGGCAGTTAGAATCCCTGCAGTCGACCCCAGATTCTGACCCTACACTGTTCCGATACTTTCTGCAGGTTAGCAGATTTATGCGGGTGGATGTAATTGGTTTAGGAAGTTTATTTCACCCACCCACTGGCTAAAATATGAGAAGTAGCAACTGACTGCCAGTTTATGAGCAAAGCACACCCTCAGAATGTAGTGACACACAGAGTGACAGGTTTATCTGGCTCATATAGTCATGTAACCCTACAGTGGCACCATACTGGAACCAGACTGACCAGCAGGGGTGGTCCTGCTCCTGCAAAGCCAGTATTTGTGTGTCTTTCTGTCTGCAGAAAGATTTTTTTCCACTGATTAAACCCAACTGATCTCACC